CCTCGCAGAAAAGAATTCCAGGAGGAAACAAGTTGTGAAGTATAACACTTTTTATTTAAAAGTTTTGAGGAAGGGGAGGTGCGGGGTAGGGAATGAGAATAACTCAAGAGAGAACATGGGCCTTTCCAAAGTTGGAGAGAGAGCCCCAGTACATGTCCCAGCATTAAATATGAAAGTGTTAAAGGACACATGGTGAGAGGGGAGATGTGGGCTGAGGGACACACATGCTCTTGAGCACTCCGTGCACCTGCAAGCTCTCCCATGCTCCTAGTGTCAAGTTCGCTGTTACAGGTTTCTCCCACACTGCAGAGCTGGGGGCTTTCTACCTGAGAGAGTCTGTGGTAGAGACATTGCCAAGGGGAGAGGTGAGAGCAGTTGATGGTCTTTGATATTCCTTTCCTGCCTTTGCTCCTGTGGGAGCTTCTTTCAGAGGGAGGGCTCCAGCCTTCTCTGAACCTGAGCCAGCTCACAGGGGGGTTTGCTTTTCACAGCCTTGGCTGTTGTTTTTATTACTGTCCGGGAATTTATTGCCATAGGGGCCCTTCCCTAATTTTCCTGCCTTTCTGCTTTAGTAGTGCATGGGTGAGATAGGTAGTGGGGTTAGTCTCATTCTGGTAGTGTTTCACTATTTTCTTTTCTTTTTTAAAAACCTTTAGTCACCATGAAATTACAGAGTTATTCATGGTTGAGTTTTTCAGGCATACGGTGTTTCCAGTCATAAATTTCCTCAGATGCATTCTTTTGTTCTTTTAGATTTACGTTTTGTTATATACGTACTAGGCTTTTGATAAATTTATTAGTGAAATAGAAGCTAAGATTAAAGAAATTTATAATAATGGAGTGAGTATATCTGAAAATGTGGCTGCACATGTTTTGTTGTAGAAAACATTTTTCATGTGCAAGGCTCTAGATTCTATTTGACCCAGCAATACCACTCCTGGGAATATATCCCAGAGAGGCAAAAAAGTATAGTTGAAGTGACATCTGCACTTGTTTGTTCATTGCAGGACTCTTTACAATAGTCAGAATCTGGAAAAAAAACCTGAGTGCCCGAGAACAGATAACTGGTTAAGGAAACTTTGGTACATTTACACAATGGAGTACTATGTAGCTGTTAGAAAAGATGAAGTCATGAAATTCACATACAAGTGGTACTACATGGAAAGTATCATGTTAAGCGAAATGAGTCAGAAAGAGCGGGATAGACACAGAAAGACTGCATTCATCTGGGGAACAGAAAGCAACAAAATGGGAGACTAACACCCAGGAGTTGCCAAGATTAGTACCAGGAATTTTGCTCCATGACTTGGAGACCAGCCACACGTGCTAGGGGAAAAGGAAGCTCAGATAGAGAAGAGAGCACCAAATAAAGGGTGTTGGGAGGATCCTCCCAGGGTGGGAGAAGCATGCTGAAAGTAGACTATAGACCAAACATGCTTGCCTCTCAATGCCTCTCCTGCAAACCACAGGACCCAAAAGGAGAGAGAGAGAGAGAGAGAACAAAAGGGAATGCTCTGCCACAGAGGCAGGGTGGGATGAGGGGGATGGGGGGTGGGAGGGATGCTGGGACCCGTGATGGTGGAGGATGGGCGCTGGTGGAGGGATGGGCACTTGATCATTATATAACTGAAACCCAAGCACAAAAATTTGTAAGTCTATAACTGTACCTCATGGTGTTTCACTAATTAAAAAAATTATGAAATTCACATTAAATTAATAATTTGCAATTTATAAATTTTTGCGACACCAAAATCCAGTACTTTGTAAGACTTGTTCAGAATCACCTAAAGAGGAGAAAATAGATGGAGAGGAAAAGAGAAGCATAATATTAAAATTTGCATATTCACAAATATGATAACATACTTCATTCTCCAAAACTAAGTATTACTGAAATATTATTGATACATATTATTCTAAATCATTATTTTGGTGTTACTTTGTTTTTTTAAACTACAGTTTTATGTTTGGGACATTGTTTCCTTTATTTAATTTCTACCATATTTTATTTTTGGTATTTAATGACTTTTTTTCCACATTAGTTATTCCTTGTCTCCTAGCAGTGCTAAAGGGTTGGCTGATTTTATTATATTCTTTTTTGGCTGTACAATTTTGGGTTAAATTCACATTGAAGTCACAGATATTATCCTGCAGACCTAAAAATTATTAAAACCTAATTACTGTAAAACTCAAAAGTCTTAGAATATAAGTGAAACAAACTAGATTGGTGCCAGACTCTGCTGTGCATCTGAGTCATTAGTAAAACAGGCAAAAAATCTTACTCAATAGATCCCAAGTCAGTGCTGTGATTCTGCCTCTTTCAAACAAGTTCTTACACAATATTGATGCCACTGGTCCAAAAGCTAGCTTCATATAAAAACAAACCACATTCCATCAGTCACTGACTACTGAAGGATTTCATGTCCCCTTCAGGGCTAATACTCAAATTTCTCAACAGATAAAAGGGAAGTGCTTAGGACACCAGGCAGAAAAAAACGAGACGAGAATGAAAGAATCTCTCAGAGTCACCTGAGAGTACTTTAATGGAAGTACAAAACACTAAATTAACAGTGATCAGTAAGAAATAGCTATAGCAATTTTTTTAACTTAAAGTAGATTATATCTGAACTCAATGTTGTATCTGAAGTCCAGATTGATGGCATCTTTATATTTTCTTTTAGTGCCATGATTTACAATATTGTAAATGGTAGCATTTCATTCATAAAATACTCTAGCACCACGGCCTCCACCAAAGTGTCAACTTCCCTCATAACTGTCTCGGTGATAATCCTCTACCCGGACCACGGTCCTTCCAAGGTAAACTTCATACTAAGACCAGTTCTGTTTCTTTGCCTTTAAGTATTTGTTATGCCCCTATTTTTACATCCCACATGTAAGGGAGATTATTTTGTATCTGTCTCTTTCCTTCTAAATTCTTTCATATGATGCTCTCTAGGTACATCCACATAGCAGTAAATTGCATGATTTCCTCTTTTACTAAAACAAGTAATATTCCATTGTATATATATGTACCATAATTTCTGTATCCAGTCATCTGTTCTGAATACTTGAGTTGTTTCCAGATTTTGGCTAGTATGAATAGTGCTGCAATGAATAAATGATTGCGAATTTATTTCTGAATAGAAGCTTTTGGCCCATGGGTTAGTGATCTTGCGGTGTGTATGGAACTTTACTTCTAGGCTTCCATGAAGTGTCCATATTTCTTCCCACTTTCCACTCCCACCAGCAGTGAACGAAGGTCCCCTTACTCCACCTCTCCAGCATTGTTTGTGGTTGTTGTTCTTTGTGATATACTCTTATGATATTCATTGTAGCTTTGTTTTGTTTGATAATGAGTGTTGAAGATCATTTTTCATATACTTTTATGGCCATCTTTATGTCTTTTGGGTGAAGATTCTGTTAATCTCCTTCCCCCATTTTCTGATTTTTTTTTTGGTTCCTGTAAAGTTCCAGTGCTTTGTACATCTTGGACATACCTTTTGTCAAATTTGTTGTGGGCAAATATTTCCTTCCAATCTGCAGGATGTCATTTCGTTCTGGTCATCATTTCTTTCATGATGCAGAAGCTTCTCAACTTGTTGTCATCCCATTTGTTTATTTTTTGCTTCCATCTACTTGGTCAGTTCCATCTACTTGGTCTAGATTCAGTGTTATGAGTTTTGTACCTATATTTTTAATCTCTGTAATTTATACATTCAGATGTGATATTGAGGCCCTTAATTCATTTGATTTAAATTTGATTTGAATTGAATTTTGTGCATGGTATTAAAAAAGGATCTGAGTTTATTTTTTGTATATGATCAAACATATGTATCTTGCCCGCATATATGCCTGACTGGGAACACCTGTAAAAGGTGATTAGAGGCTGCCCCAAAAGCATTCATCCTTCTCAGAGAGCCTGGCAAGCTACCAAGAGTATCCCACCCACATGGCAGAGCCTGGCAAGCTAGCTGTGGTGTAGTAAATATGCCCAAAACAGTAACAATGATGGTCCTCATTTCCCTGACCCTGAAAGAGCCCTCATTATGCCATTGGACTACACTTGCATGTGACAGGGATGAATGAAGACGTTACTGGCGCCTGCTCGAGAAAATCAGTGAACACCGGGGTGATAGTGATAGTGATAATGACGATCAAACAGTTTTCAAAAAAATCAGTCATTGAAGTGGCTTTATTTGCTCCCTTCAGACTTTTTGTACCAGAAATAGAATAGGACTAATAAAGGTAATTGGACCTAGAGAGAATAAATAGGGTATGGCAATTATACTGCCGTTAAATGTACTCAGCTAGAACAGAGATTCTACATTCTAGGCACCATAATGGCAGTAAGAAAAGATCACCGTAAGGTGCATATCATTAGATGAAGCTTTGTTCTGAGAATGCTTTATTTAAAATACATACTCTTTTTATTTTTATTTGAGTACCATGATTTACAGTACTGTTAAAAATAAACTGTTAGCCATATCATCCTCCAACACCACACCTACTACCAGAGTTTTGGCATCCCTTCATCAGTGTTTTACCGTCCCTTCCTTTCTTGGTAGATTCTGTTCTGTAGTCTAATTATTAGGATCTGTTACTGTTGTCCTATTGTTATTCACTGTGTGTCTTTATATTCCACATATAAGCCTTCATATCAGCCAGACATAGTTATATAACCACAATAGATGAAATTTGGTCTGGGAAATGTAATATTCACTTGCAACTCCCTTCCCTCAATAAAATTAACATTTTGTCAGCATTGTTATTTTTTTAAGAAATTATCAGATAATGGATTTTAATTAATAAATAGTAAGTTTTTCTATAGTGAAGAATCTCACATACATATTTTGAATATGAAATCATAAGTAGACAAATGAGAGTTTTTTTATATTTGTTAGGAAGGAAGGAAGGAAACTGGCAATTACATAACTGAGAAGATGAATTCGGCACATTTGTTACGTACTATTTTAAATCTCTCTCCTTTGCCTGCCTCTGCACAGGCTCTATGTCGATGGTCCCTTTGGAAGTCCATTTGAGGAATCACTGAACTATGAGGTCAGCCTCTGCGTGGCTGGAGGCATTGGGGTAACTCCATTTGCGTCAATCCTCAACACCCTTCGGTATGTCATTTTGATCTATTTCATTCATGTAAGTAGAGACATGTCAATATTGTAGCTATCTACTTCTTGTGAAGAAATTCCGTCCAGAATTCTTATATTTGTTCATCAAGTTACTCCACTTGCTGGTTATTAAGACAAATAATTTAATGACTTTTAATATTTGTTTTATGGCTTCTAGTCTGCTCTCAGTATGTCGGCATGAAAGCTGTGCATCATCTCTTGTCTGTTTACCCCAGTAAAGTCATTTCAAAAATATCCATTTTTTACATCCTCATCAGTAGTGACATTACTAAATTTATTAAACACTACTTGTTAACACCTGTATACCAACCCTCTATAGATACTATAACTAAGATTGAAACTGTTCATGTACTTAAGATGTTGAAGTGGAACAGGTCAAAATAAACTAGTGAAACAGTCATGAATAACATTATTTCAGAAATTATTGCAAATATAATAAAGACAAAAATTATTAATAGTATATGGAAGTCTACAGCCATTGTTATTGTAGAATTATGGTCACGGAATGCTTTTCTGGGTCAAAACCAAGTAAGTACTTCTTTCTTTGGTCTCTTACTTAGAAGTTTTTAAAAGAAGCATAATTTCAAAAGTGGTATTGCTTAACCAGGAAATATTTTTATTAATTTTAGCTATAGTATGAGGAGCAAAATTAATTAGTATTGTAATTAAAACCAAACTTATTCTTAACTATTCCGTATGCTTTTCTGGGGAATAAGATTTCGCACACAGTGCTCATGAGATCTAGGAGAATGTCTAATGACACTCAACCACTAGGCCAAGAGTTCAGTGTTGCTTGGCCCCGCGGTGCTAGGACCAGCAGGATCTGCCCGATGGTGCTCAGCGACTGACACACTCAGTATGCACGAGGGACCATGAGTGAAAGCACCAAACCGAGGTCTCACACACCAAAGCTTGCACCTGAGACCTCTAAGCTATCTCTGTGGCCCTCTATTTTCTAGGGGAAAATTTTACTGCACTAAGACAGTAACAACGAAGTCTCCAATGGAGACGTTACTGCACTAAGAATAAACTTTTAATGTAGTAAATAAAATTAAAGCAAATATATTTGAAAGATATCTTGTTTATTAATTTTTGCTAAAAATTCTGAAGTTCATAGAAAAACATACAAATTCCCATGTACAGGATGTTTTCTAAGACATTATACGTAATTTGGGCACTCTACCTTAATATGTGACTTGGACAAATTTTTCTAAGTGATTTCTACCAAAAGTGAAGAGTATTTTCATAGCCTGAAATTTACCTTCATAATTACTAGTGGGAATTCAGACTTAGAATTCTAAGTTGCTGGAATGCATTACGTACTTGTTGGTTGTGAAATCTCATTCCTTAATAAGGAACAAGAAGAGGATAAGCAACCAACTTTCTGCAATGAAGTTGAATCATTTTTGCCGAGTGGCCAGGGTAAGGCTGATTATCATAGTAACAGAATTTAATAAAAACAAACAAGTATTTTTCTGAGATTTAGAGATGATTTGAATGTTTTCATCAATTAAGTTTATTATTTTAATGAGTGATATATGTATGTATACTTAAATTAACAATTTTATATATGTATATGTATGTATACTTAAATTAACAATTTTATCATGTCTTTAAGTCAATGGATTGAATTTTAAATTCATAAAAATGTAGTAAGTCCCATGTCAGATCCTAGGTTATAAAACTATTTTTTTCTCAATTAATTTACTAAAAATAAAAAAAATTAGATTCTTAGTCTTTTTAAAAATTTTTTCATATAATGGTTATTTTGTTTTAATTTTAAAGGGATGACTGGAAACTGTACAAGCTTAGAAGATTGTATTTTATTTGGGTGTGCAGAGACATCCATTCCTTCCGTTGGTTTGCAGACTTAATCTGCGTATTGCATAACAAGGTAAAATTAAGAATTTTTACTTTGTCTATTTAAAAAATGTTTTCAATAAGTATGTTACCCCAAATTGCAAAAATAATAAAAGTTATCTGTAAAACAAACCAGAGAATATACAAATAAATAATGAAAAATTCCTTAAGCTTCGAAAGACATAATATTCCTTAATAATTTGATGCACATCATTCAGAAATAATATCTATGTAAGTATTTGTGATACCTAGAAAGTTTTCTAACATCAGTTTCCTAATTTATATGCTTTAGAATAGAATGTTAAACAAATATACAGTTAAACAAATACCATATTGAGTGGTAAATATATATGTATATACAGATATATAGATATAGATGATATAGATATAGATAAAGATATCTAGATATCTAGATATAGATATAGATAAAGATACAAATACATCACTGTCACTGTCACTGTCCTCCCGTTGTTCATTGATTTGCTCAAGCAGACCCAGTAACGTCTCTATTGTGACAATTGTTAACTGTGTTTGGCATATCGAATATGTCATGGGTAGCTTGCCGGGCTTTGCCGTGAGGACGGATACTCTCAGTAGCTTGCCGGGCTCTCCGATAGGGTCGAGGAATCGAACTCAGGTCGGCCATGTTGGCCACTTGCAAGGCAAACGCCCTACCCACTGTGCTATCGCTCCAGCCCACAAATACATATATAAATATACATACATACATACATATATCTGGTGAGTGAGTAAGCTTGTGGTGTGTGACAATGGATGCTTATGGCATTTTAAGGGACAGAAGCCAGATAGAGGAAAATATCAGCAGTCATTTGTTCCTGTGCCTTCCATCAGTTTCCCCAATAGCTCTTACTCCCTTATCTTTATTAATTTCTTAATAGTCCATATGAGCTATTACCAGATTTATGTCAGAAATCTAAAATTTCAAATATCCCACATTTTTATTTCATATATAAAAGAGCAATGAGCTCCAACCTCTGTGTTACTCCTTACCTTTAATGTATAAATTTCAAAGGATTTAGAAAAAGGAAATCCTCACTGCATTCCCCACCTAACTTATATAAACATAGATAAATTACAAGTGTTCTAAAAATTTTACCAATTGTTTTCTACAAATTTCTGTTTTAAATATACTATGTCTTGATTTTTTTGTTGTTGTTGTACATAGAATTGCCTCATTTATATTGTGAAATTATTATAGAACAGTTCTATTAACAGGATACATTCATAGTACCAAAACTAGAAGGCCATCTGTGGTGTCAGGGATTGAGGGCAGGTAGGCTACATGCAGAGCCAGTGCTCTGACTACTTGCCATACTGACATGCTGGTCCCCATAATTTTTATATTCAAAGAATATTTGTGTCTTGTATTTTGTTTGCTTTGATGATTCTGTCACATAGGAGTGAAAGCATTTGGGCTTTTACTTCTTTTTTCACCTAATACAGGTTCATTAAATTCCCAGTCATATTGCTATAAACAGAAAGACTTCATATTTTTCAGTGTCTTGAGTATTCCACTGAGTATATAAATCACAACTTTTCATCCAGTTATCTGTTGTTGCACATTTAATTTGATCCAAATATTGACTGCTTTAATAAAGATGATATGAATATAGAGATTCAAATATCCTTTGGATTTAGTGCTTCATTTCCGTTGGATAAATGCCTGGACACTTAACTAGATCATATCATATTTACATCTCTAGTAAACTAAACTTTTTTTTTAATTGGGACCTCCTGATAGGGTACTATGGTCAAACAGCCATTTATTGCTAACTATTTTAAGAATCTATATACCATTTTCCACACATCTGTATAAATTTATATTCTTACCAACAATTAATAGTGTACTGGAGTTCCTTTGTCTCCACATTCTCACAAACAGCTGTTTCTGATTTCCTTAATAAAGCTAATGTTGAACATTATTTCTTATGCTTGAGGGCCAGCTGCATGTCTTCTTGGAAGAAGTGTCTATTTAAGTATTTTGCATATTTTGAATTGGATTGTCTCCTTTATTATTCCTGGGTTTTGTATATTTTGCATATTAACCCTTGTTAGACATATGATGTGAAAACTCCTTCCAACAAATAAGGCACCTTTTTTTTGTTTGTTTGTTTGAGGGATGGGGGAGAAGATATCAGTGTTTATTAATAATAAGTGGCAGTGGAAGGAAGCACCTAGAGAGATGTGCCACATGCCAGGGAACTGATTAGTGATTCCTGAGTTTAATATACTGATCAGTTACTCCATCGGCTGCTTTTTCCCACCCTCAGGGCCCAGGGCTGGGGGTGGCCAGGGTGAGTGGGGGGAGCCCTGACTCACAGTAGCCATTCAGAGGGAATTGGGGCAACTTCAGGCCCCGCGGAGGTGGCCGGGCCAGCGAGAGCAGCGACAGTCATGCCGGCCGGCGACTCTGCTGGACAGGGGGCGGTGGCCGGGTCGGGCGGAGGCTCTGCTGGGCAGGGGGCGGTGGCCAGGCCAGGCAGTAGCTCTGTTGGACAGAGGGCGGTGGCCGTGCAGGGCAGCAGCTTTGCTGGACAGGGGGTGGTGACCGGGCCAGGCAGCCTCTCGGCACTGGCGCGGCCTCGCAGTTTGCACATGGACCTGGCCTGGACGCTTCCCGTCGGTTCAGAGATGGGGCCTAAAGCCTTCAGTGACTGGGAGGCCACGAGGGGACACAGGGGGTCTGGGACTACAGCACCGGGTCGCCAGGTCCGCGGCCACTACAGAGGACCAGCCGCAGCGCCTGCCTTACCCAGACCTTTTTGTTTGGGTTCTAGGTGGTTTTTTTTTTAATCACATTTAAACGGTTATAACTGACCCCCGCCCCCCACCCCCCACCCCCAGGAGCTGAGCACTGCTCTCTTCCCCTTGCCTGCAGAGCTTGGTCTCCCGGGGTCCGGAGGGCCGAGTCCCAGAGCGTGCCCGCCATGAGTCTCTTCTGGGCACTTCAAATTGCAGAATTTATATCAAAGGCCTTAATCAATCTTGATTCAATTTTTTCCCAGTAGGTTTGATGCACTGTGGTTTGCAATGCTATTAGTTATGCTTTGATACATAGATTATTCCAACACAGCATCTCACACCAGAGTGCCTACGGAGCCACTGATGAACCAGAGGCCCCTCCCGCCCACCCCCATCCCCACCCCCACCCCCCCCACCCCTTCCTCATAAGCAGGAGTCTCTGTGCCAACATCCAGTCTCAGTGCTTGTGACTGCTAGTTGCTCCCTCACTGTGTATCTTTCTTTCTGATTTTTAATCTGCATAATACTGTTTTTGTCAACATAGTAGAAATTGATGACATTCTTTCTTATAGCTGCTAGTTTGTTCATATCCCAGAACATTTCTTGTATTTTAGAGGTGGCGCACTCAGTGTTACTTGGGGCTTACTCCTGGCTCTATGCTCAGGGATCACTCCTGGCAATATACCGGAAATTTTTTGATCAATTCATCATTGGTTACACATCAGGATTGTTTTCATATCTTGTCTATAGCACTAAATGCTTCAGCTGTACAGAGGTAGGCGTAAAACCTTTCAAATTAATGGCTTTGTGTTCTGGGGGAATAAATGGCAAGAAGTAATATCCCTGGATCGCGTGGAATTCCAGCCTTTGTTAAAAAATCTCCATGCTGCGTTCCATAGAGGTTGGATCCGCCTACATCCCCAGTAGCAGAAAATTAGAGTTCCTTTCTCTCCTCATCCCCCACAACACGAGCTATTTCCAAATTTTTAGTTATATTTTATTTTAACTGGTATGAGGTGCTCTCTCGTTGCTTTATAGATTTGCATTTCCTTGATATTGAGAAGGTGAATACCTTTCTATATGCCTAATAAGTCTTCTTTGGGGAAGTGTCTGTTCATCTCTCCCTATTTTGAGATGGAGTTATTGTTTTTCTGTTAATGGTTCTGAGCACTTTGTGAGTGCCTTATAAATATGGAAAGTAGGTACCAGTGTGCTAGTATAGCAGTAAGGTGCTTGCCTGCCACGTGGATGACCCTGCTTCAGTCGAAGCATTCTCTACAGTCTCCAAACCCTGCCAGGAGCGATTCTTGGACAGAGCCAGGAATAAGCTCTGAGTGCCACTGAATGTCGTCCAAAACTAAAATCAAAAACCTTTTTCTGATGTATTATTTGCAAATATTTTCTCTCATTCAGTAAGGTGTCTGTTTATTTTAGCTTGATATTCTTTTGCCATTTGATATAGTCTGATTTGTTTTTTTCATGTATTTATTTTCTTCTGATATTCTTGTGTTTGCCTCTGTTCACCTCATTTAAGAAACCTCTGAGGTTCAATTCCTGGAGAGTTGGGCCTCTGTTTTCTTTACTGTGTTTTATGGATCATGAGGGCCTTTAATTGTCTTTGATTTAGTAGTTTCATTATTTTTCATATGGTGATCTAGTTTTCCTAGTACCACTTATCAGGGAGAATTTATTTGTTCACATCATATATTTGACTTCTTTTTGCCATATATTATCATCCATAAATCATAAATTTATCTCAGCTCTCAGTTACATTTCCAAGACATATTGGTCTATGAGTCTTTTTTATTATAGTGTTTTAAAGTTTGATTATCAGTTGTCTTGTCTTGTTCAGGACAACTCCTGGTCTGCACACAGATATCAGTCCTGGAGGGCTCATGAGTCTCTCTGGGCTGTCAGGGATCAAACTCACATCAGCCATAGGAAAAGCAAACTTGCAAATCACTGTACTATCTTTCTGGTTCTGAATATTACAGTTTTTTAGAACAAGTCAGTTGAAACTCAATACCTTGCACCTCCTTTTAATATAAATGTGGGTAGCTTCCATGAATCAAATATTTTATCTTCTTAAGAAGCTCTTAATCATTAAAAAGAAAGATGGTATGGTTCATCAATGAGCTGACCACAGAGGCCAAAACAAAAAAATAAAACAAATGAGAAAAATTAATGAGACTATATCAAATTTTAAAAAGTACTTTACTTTTCTGCACCAGTCACATTTTTTCTTTTATTTTTACTAAGATACCATGGCAG